TTTTTCCGCAATGCTTCACGGAGAATTCATTTAGTGTGAACAGTTCCAGAGGAGTGCGTAACTTCTTTTTGATCGTCGAGAGCTTTAAATGAAGCTGCCAAATTCATTCATAATACAACAATCCGAACTAGCGCGAGCTGAGGAATGCAACAAATCACTTTTCATTGAATTTTGAATGTCATAGTTACTTTAAAATTCATTGAGTCTTTTCAATTGAAGCGAATGTCCTCTTCTTATACTCCTAGCCTGCCATGCTGCTAATGATGCACCTTCGAGAACTTTGATGGACGTAGGACTTCGAAATTGAGCTTTTTGGAATTTTTATTCAAAGCTTTGTCGTGTCCGAGGAGCAAGTTGAACTGCGCGATATATTATAAGGAAAAAGTGGAAATTATCACTACTACACCAGCTAACCTACCCAGTTTGAACGTTGAACAACAACGGAAACGACAGAGCCTCAAAATCGTGGCATCCACTACATGACAGTTAGCTGGCGCTACTGATCAAAAATCTAAGTGGAAGGCCTGCATTCTGAGATTTCACGGTAAAATGTCAAACAATTCACATCAAAATCAGGAATTTGGCAGAAAGCTGGACAGACATCATCAAGGAAGGTCTAAAACAATGTGAGTGGAGAAGGTCGATTTCAGACCCATTCAATATGAACCAGGAATCACGCTTATATATAACATCCTCAACTTACAAGTACTTTTACAGTATATTGAAATTTGCACAATAAATACAATCAAAAACAACGGAAATGCATGAGAAGAATCATGAGAATCTCTTTAGAACGTTGAAAGCCCAAATTTTTAAATTGCGCCACAAATCTAACTTTCACATAGGAACATACTGAACTGAACAAGAATAGCTAGACCATTTGGCTCATTCTTTGCTTCTTTTCAACACTTGTTTGGAGAAATTCACTGAATAATATCAGACCTTTCGAATGTTCTTTGCTTGCTCACCCAGGTTACCAAAAAAAACGATAGGATTGTCAGAATCCATTGAATGCCCTCGAATGCGTTAACTAGATGTTGCCATTTCGTGTCTTATCAGACCTTCTGTCTAAAGATAAGTTCAGGATCAGATGGCAGTGTGAAGGCTTGCAGGAGGGCAGCTGTAAATTGCACGGTACTGTCAAGACTAAGCATAAAGTATGAACCAATGTTTTGTTAAGCATGACTACTGGTCTCCTGTCTACCAATAGGTGTATAATTAGAATGTAGAATAAAAACGTAGCGTAAAAATCTGAACAAATTGTTCGTTTGAATGGCAATTCTAATTTTTGTAAAAAAATAAACTAAAAAGTAAAACAGAAACGGAAAAAGGGGGAATAATCTGTTCTGAAAGTTGAGTTATTCCGTTATTCATTTTGCTTACTACATACTAGCTGTTTGAGAGACTCTTCTTTCTCTCCTTCTCCTCCCTCCTCCCTAGCGAGGATCTCACCCCGATGCAGGTTCCGCTGCCTGTAGTGATAATCATTACCACCACCTCTCTGAGGCACCCTCTCTCCAATAAACTTCAGACCTTTACTTAGAAGGAAAACAGACATTCAAGTTGTCATGAGTGCATGAGTGGTCATCGCTGGAAGGCCAATGGTTGCGATCTTTTTTCCTAGTACTGTAATGAATGTTTACGTGATATTTACGTTTTTCATCTGAACCTAGGTTCAAACTGTATGTAATTCAAAATACACGGAGGTAATTTGAACAAAGTAGAGTTCCAATGCACAAGCGATTCGACCAGTAGCCGTGCCCAACCTTAGTGCTCACCTTTCCTTTCAGCCGGGATCTCCTCCCCAGATGAATCAGAACAATCGATCACTTCAGATTCTTCATCTACGTCGTTTACTTGCAACGACGTTGAAGGTGCTGAATCTTCGTGTAGAGATGATACGGTCGTATAGCTTTCATTCTGGTCAGTGCGACATTCGCTTAACACCCTGTCGATCTCACTAAATCAAGATCTTGTAATAAAGTTGAGCTTCTTTAGAAAACGAATGCTCAATATCGCAAATTAAAACAGATTTTCAAAAGAACTTTCACGGATACACTCTCGATTTTGAAAGAAGTAATGGTATCAGTAAAGTTTCCTAAAAGTTTGAGAGGCTGCATCAAAAAAAAAGTTGTCCGTTCAAATTCTGCTGCTGACCTCAGCAATCTTGTAAGGCACAGCGGCGCTGGTTAGTTGAGTTGGCTGCCAAATGAGGCTTACGGCCTCATGATACTGTTAGATGGAACACCTTCTCGATAATGTGACTAAACCTTTTACCTAATGAAATACCAATTGAAGGCGTTTCAAAGGGGTTTTTTAGGCAAGTAGGTTAGGCTGACAGGTAGCTCTGCAACTTCTGTAAGCAGCCCATTTCCAGGTGATGGAAAAGCATCTACTTCTAGAGAGAGTATCATCAACCCTTCTTTTCGCCTATTAATCAAAGAACTCACTTCATTAGCTTTACGTAGCGATAATTCCCTCGAACTTCGTCCACATCGACTTCTATAATGTCACGTCCATGTGATTTGCCTTCATGCATCACCAGAGTAGGTGTTTTCCAACTACTGGACATGGAAAAATGGACGTTCTTCAGAATCGCAATCGAACCGCTCTGAAATCAATTCAAGTGTGACATCGTTCTCTTCAGGGCAATGTCAAACTAAAGTACTTTCAAGCTGGTTGCTCGCGGAATCCATTCTCCATAAAGTAAAACATCATAAAGGTACAAATAAGGTATGCTTTGGAGCTGCTCTATACATGGAACCAACATTTCCGCGCTCGATGACGAGAACCTGTTGACATTCTTGTGCTCAGGCCTGTAAATGAAATAGGCCGTCTTTGAAAATTTCATATATGCGACTGCTATTCGAAATCATTAAAACAAAAAATAAAAAAAATTAAAATAAATAAACTGAAAATTAAAATAAATTAATAATAAATTAAAAAATAAAGCTTTTGGGCGTTGAGAAATCTCGTATAAATTGTACTATCGCCCACATGCAACCTTCATTCAGAATAGTAATGGCATATTAGTACGTAGGTGGCCTATACAACGAATTGCGGTGGCCGGCCGATGAACAAGTCAGAGCTTTTATTCTCCCAGGTGGGTTTAGTGCCAACTAACAGAATCCGGAGGGATGGAAGGCTTGGTTGGCCTAGGCCGATATCGTTCCGTGATTCGAACTCTTGACCATGCGCGCGCTCCATGCTACTACACCACCTCCACCCTAATAGAAACAAATATTATAAAAATAACAAGAAACAACATGCTGTTCTACCCTCTTTTGTTTACAAACAATACTTAATGATGCACGAATGTTCTTCTCTCATATAATTCACTAACGGGAGTGGAACACGCCACCACCCGTTCACGAGCCTCATTCCTACAAGCCCTGACCAACCAAGGCTTCCAACTTTGATGAGTCGGTTATTTAGCACCAGAGTCTTCGGTGGGGATAGAAGGACTGACATTTGAACTGGCTTGCTAGCTCACTTCATCGTATAGATCACCTAAATACCTACAAGATCGAAGGCAGATCGAATCCCATCGAATCGATTAACGAAACCTTCTGAACCTTCCGGAATGTTGGAATGGTGCTGTAGTAATGTGACTAGCCTTATCACACCTCGATACTTTCACCAAATCAAATGCGAATTCTACATCAA